ATGGCACCTGACAACAACAACAACATATGGCTTCCTTCTTCTTTCATGTTATTTCCCTAGGGTGAATTCCTAGGAGTAAGACTACTAGGTCCAAGAGTATTAACACTTTGGTCGCTTTCACTATATATTATTGTCTTATTTCCTAAATGGGGTTAGTCAGTTTATGCCAACGGTAATGTTTGAGTGTGACCAGACCCCAGGATGCTATCAACAGTGTTAGCTTTTTAACTTTGTTTTTCTAATTTAATAGGTATAAGCTATTTTTGCAGTTTTTTTCTCATTTATATATTAAGTTGAACATTTTTCCTGATTCGCTTTCCCTAAATATATTTTGTCCATTTATTCATGGAGGCTTGTAACGTTGCTCTTTTACTTAAATGAGTTCTTTATATGGGGCGAGCATTCAATCTTTTCTGTCACAGTTAGTGCAAATGACTTTCTTATTTTACGAAGATGTTAATTTTTCATTCAATAGAATTTTTACATTTTTGTGTAGTTGAAATTGTCAGTATTTTGTTATGTTACTTCTTTTTCAAAAGAAACCTTTTCAGACCTTAAATCACCAGTATTTCAAATACTAGGAAAGCAGTATGATGTGACTACATAGTATGTCTTGGCTTTATGGAGGAGGAGAGTAAGTCGAAAAGACTGCATTTAAAAGTGCTTGGGGACAGAGGGTGAGTGGGAATGTCAACAACAGCGCTTTTCTGTGCGGTCACACACTGTGATCGGCTCTAATAAGATAATTGTCTTGCCTCCATTTTGCCATGTCATAGGATTCCTCAGCGTTTCTTTTGTGCTTAGTAGGGTAGCTGTTTTCTAAGAGCTAGTGCAAAGTGCAAGAGGTTGACTCAAAGTAGAATTGGAACTTTCATTAGTCTGACATCAACAGTTCTTTTGGAAAGAAAAAAAGGAGGGGTGTTGTAAAAACTATGAAGTAAGAAACAACTGCATTACTACTTATTTTGATTGCTTATTGAATTAGTAGAAATCACCATGGGAACACCATCTTTTTTGTGTAATTTTGCCCTAGATTTGAAATAAATGACAAAAGGTGAAATCTTTTAATACATTTGCTGAACTTGGTAATGAGACCATTAGACCCAGAGGTCCTAGGAGCATTTTCTTCTTTACCTGTGAAACATACATGAACGTGGAGCAGTAGAACTTTTTCATACTAGCTACTTAGTATTTAGAGCCAGGGGCCTTGCTGATTTCATCTTTGCCAAAGGAATGTGATACAGATAGTGATGATGTGTACTGCAAAATTGAAGTCTTTTAGAAATATTCTTTTATTTCTTCTTGGGGTATATACCTATTTTAGAAGTACATATTTTATTTGATAAAGTATTTAACAATATTTCACATTTTCTTTCAGTCTTCACAGAAAAATACTGTACTGCTAACCATGTGGATAAACTTCCTGGCCCAAGAGACTGGGTGCAGATTCTACAGGATCAAATTAAACTGGCCAGAAGAAGATTAAAAAGAGGCTCAGGTATGAATAGGCTGAAAGAAAGTAATTGCAGAAGCACATTATTGAACATTTAGACTTGGAAACTATAAGAGGGCTTCAAAAAGTTTGTGGAGATAGGGAATTATAATGGAATCTTTACACAGACCTTTGAAGCCCTTTCATACAGTACTTTGCTCTAGGGTATTTCAGTGCTCTTTTGTCTTTTAAGGGAGAAGCTCTACATAAACCATAAGTGCTATGGTTTCATATGTTAGTCTTATTCAAGTGAATTTTGAGTTATCCTTAAGATTAATAATAACCATTGTATCATACCGTTTACATTTGCATTTAGCAAGCAAAAATGATTGCTAATCTCATTTATGATATAATGTGTCTTATGTATGAAATTGGATCTGTCTTTTGTAGTTCCTTTCTAATTGCCTGTTAGTTTGTTGGTGTGTTTTTTTTTAATTTGAATCTGCACGACTTTATAAAAGTAATAGTTGCTTAAAGTAAAAAACAAGAGTCGTCATACTAGAAACACCACATGAAACAGAGCGAAAGGGGTTTTTAATTTTAAATTAAATGTCTTTATTTTTTAATTTGGAATTGGAGTTTTCTGGAATTACTCTCCCAAGAAAAATGAGCACCAAGCAACTGGTGATGACCAGTTGACTTGTGATTTGGTGATTTGAAGTTTCAGTCCCCATAAAGGGACTTTACTGATAAAAGTGTAACAATTTACCAGTAAAGAATCCTTTTGAGATCAGTTTTTCTCCCATCATATAAGAATAATCTTCTCCAGGAGGCCACCGACCTCTTAATATTATTTAAAATAAAAACTCATACAAGTCTGCTAAAAGCCTTCTGTGCCTTGAGTGTTAGAGACAATTGTAGAGATACAGCTTTAGATGCTGAAATGTTAGCAATTTTGGAATATGATGGAGGTTTAATGGAACAGTGGTTCAAAACACATACGACTCTATCTCTAAACAGATCATTTTTATATTAAATCTCACAATGTATATTATGTATTTTGCTACCAAGCTGACAGAGGAGTAAAGTTAAGGGATCTTGGGAACTTTGTTCAAAGGGCCTCTCCTGGCACATGCTGGTAATGCCTTGACTAGGCGAGATACACAGGAAGCAAGGGACCAAGTGGTTTCTTAGTGTAAAGAGTTCACAGCTCTTTATTATGAAAATAGCTATTTGAATTCTAGAATAATCAGCCCTGGATTGTTTCTTTAAATTTACTTATCTTCTATACTCTCCCCTTCCTTTTTTTTTAACCTTTACCTTTTTTCTTTCTTTTTACACCTGATGCTTTGTATTTAAAAAGCATAGATGGTTAATATATTATCTTTAATTAGCAAACAAACAAACAAAACCCTGAACTCTTGGCATTGCTCAGTGTGACATAGTAGAGTCAGAAGACCTGGTTTTCTAGTCTCTCACCTCTACTCTTTGCCAACTCTAGACTTGAGACATACCACCCATTCACTCCTATTCTCAGTTTCCTTTTCATTTGTTGTTGTTAATGCCGTTGAGTTGGTTCCAACCCTGTATAAGGTTTCTGAGGAGCAGCTGGTGAGCTTGAAACGTTGACCTTGCAGTTCAAACGGCTTTGCAGTCTGGCGCACTAACCCACAGCACCACACCAGGACTCCTTTTCATTAGGTATCCATCAAACTAAAAGTAGCCTCAGAGTTGTGGGGATCAAGGGATATGTTGTGCATTGAGTGGGCTTTATACATGAAACTAGCCTATCATCTCTGAAAGTGTTTGGTGCTCAAAGGCAGCCATGTTTGAAAACTTGTGAATCGTTGAGTTAACATGCTGCCCTTGTGCCTCTCTTGTTTTCTGGGTCAGAGATCAAATGGTCTGGCATAATAATCAGGAGTACCCCCTTCACTCCAAAGGTTTTCAGGTTTGGATAATACATCAAATGATCATCTTCATCCTACTTCCCTTAGTTTTCACTACCTTCTTTTTCTTAATCTACAAATAATGTTGAACACAGCATAGTATAATGGAAAGATTAGATCTGAAATCAAATCTCTGATTTGCCATTTACAAATTCTTGTGACCATGGACAAATTACTCACCCTCTCTGAGCCTCAGTTTCTCCATTTATGTACCACTCTCATAGAGTGACTTCTCTGTTCACTGTCCATGAGCTCAGTCCTCAGGACAAGCGTAGGCTCTCAACATACAAGAGGGCTTCAGAAAGTTCCTGGAAAAATACAATTGACAGATGATGGGATTTTCCCACAGACTTGTTAGCCCCTTATAGTTGTCCTAGTGTCTCCTTTGCCCTTCTGTTCATGCCCTTTCTCTCATTTCTTCTCTGCTCCCCATATCCTTAATCCTGTACCTTTCCAGTTTCTTATCTTCTCTCATCCCCCTCCAAAGGTGATGTCTCTGAAAAAACCCCAAACAGCACACCTTTAGGCTCTGAACGAGCCTCTCATAACTCGTTATGCTAACAGCCTCTTGCTTCATTCTTGGGTGACATTACAAAAGTCCCCCTTTTATTACTGAAGTCCCTTAGGTTTCAGGCTCCTGGAAAGGGATGTGGGTAGACAGGAAAAAAATAAATGTCTTGCACAATTGAATGACAAGTGCTACTAAAGACAGTAGCCCAGTATGTGCACACAATTGTTGTTAAGTGCTGTCTAGTCGGTTCTGACTCATAGCAACCATGTGTAGGGTTTCCAAGGAGTGGCTGGTGGGTTTGAGCCACTGACCTTGTGGTTAGCAGTCCAGTGCATATCCTCTTGTGCCATACCAGGGCTCCAGTTTACACAGTGAGTAATTCCAGATTGAGTGCTGGCAATGTGTGGGGTTGTGCCTCTTTCGCTTTATGGCCCCAGTCAAATCTCAAGCAGTCTCTATGCTCGTATTAAGCTGGTCTTATTCCTGGTGTGGCGCTGTGGGCTAATGTGTCAGACTGCAAAGTCATTTGAACTACAAGGTCGGTGGTTCAAGCTCACCAGCTGCTCCTTGGAAACCCTATACAGGGTCGCTATGGGTCAGAATCGACTCGACGACACTCAACAACAATATGTTACCTAATTTCTACCTTAAACGTTTTGACTGGTTGGTTGTCACAAAAATGTTAACAGAAAACAGATGTTTTCTTCATTTCCTCATGAGCATGTAAGAATTTTCATTTCCCTCCTGATTGATTTTCAAGGGGAATTTATTGAACAACAACCAAAAAAATAAGAAAACCCTATAATATTCAGGATTCAGAAAGAGCTAAAATTTGTCATAATGAAGAGACTTAAATTTAGTGCTCAGTAATCCTAAAAGAAAGGAGTCCTGGTGTGGCGCTGTGGGTTAATGTGCCAGACTGCAAAGCCATTTGAACTGCAAGGTTGGCAGTTCAAGCTCACCAGCTGCTCCTTGGAAAC